AGGCAACCCAACACTTCTATCTCTTTCATTTATTTTGCTTTTAGAATAATTCAAGATAATTGATATTAGTTTTTCTTTTATTATTATTCAATTTTAGAACTCATCATGCATACCCCATTTTTCCTTAGATCTTCGATATGTTAGTTTGTTTAATAGTTGTTAGAGCTAAGTACCGCTTGTTCCAGGTATTCGATCTTGAATGTTTTATTTGACTGTTTTGCGTAGGAACATGACATCACAGAACATCTAAATCAACATTACTAAGGAGCCAACGAGAGTAATAGGACAGCTAGCCTTCGGATTCCAAGCCATATCAAGGGAGTCTTTTTCATCATTTTCTTCCCTACCCATTTCTATGCGAAATTATGATTTATGACATTGAGGACAATGTCTACTTTAAATTTGGGGGTGGAAAACATGAGTTTTTCCTTTGTTTTTTATTTGATGGTGTATGCTTTTATTACTTAAAAAAATCAATTTTATTATTTTTTATGTATTTTTGCATGCTTGTATGGGTCAGATAATTTGCTAACGATGATGTATTCATTGGAACATAGAGTTGGACTATAAATTATAGATAAGTTATATGTTATGTTAGGTTGTGCTTATTTATGTAGAATTTGATATTTTTGAGCACAAGATTTATGTTCTGCATTGTGAAGAAAATAATTTAATTCATATTGCAGAGTAGGTTGACAATTATGGACCATAGATGTTAAATCCAAATAACCATTATACTATACATCCTTAAACTAATTTTAAATAGTTTCGAGGTGATTGAGTTGTTGTAGGGAGACATTGAGAATATATGTGGATTTCATGTGTGTTAAATTTTGTGTGGATTATCTGAGACTAATAAGATGAAATTTAGATTAAAGTCTTAAGTTGGAGGTCGATTTTTGAAAATGAGTGTTTATGACTCGAGTGATTAAGTCTGTAAGGGTCTTTAAAAACCTGGTACCCTATGGTCGTCTGACTTTGGAGTCATCGGCTGAAAGCTCGCTACAATGGTCATTTAGAAAGCTTAATAGAGAGGAGTTAAAAAAAAAAAAAAAGCACTGCTACATGTCTTGAGTAAGCCTCAAACACTCATTTGAGAGAATTTGACTTTTGACGAGAGATTATTAACTTAATTGATTCTTAGAGGTTGAAGTAATAAAAAATAAGGAGAATCCACATTTGTTGACATGTTGAGCTACAATTAGTAAAATCGAACCAAACTAGAGAGGGTGATGATTGGTATTATATCACACATTCAATATTACATCGCACTTTGGGAAGAGAGTGAAAAGAATAAAGTTTGGGGTTGTGTATCTTACGAGTGAAGAAATGAAATATTTGGCCATATAGGGTTGGGAATTGAATCAATTTATGACTTTGTAATGCTTTACATGAATCTTCACACACACATACACGTCAATTTTACATTGATTAGG